GAAAGGGCGGGAACTGTGAGGGGGAGGGGCGGGGCCAAAGGGCCACGCTGTCCTAAAAGTCTCTGGTTTGGTCTCAAATCGCCAAAAGGTGCCTCAAATGCAGCCTAAACCCACCAGGTATGGCCTAAAATCAGCCAGGAGAGTCTGAAATACACACAAAATGGTCTAAAATCATCCAAGTGAGACTAACATTGTCTAAAAAGGGACTAAAATCCAGCCTAAAACTCATTTTGGTGTAGAATCACACAAACGGGCCTAAAATCTTTGGGACCGAGACCCACAGCGATATCGGATCAAGCACCAGAACCAAGAATGAGACTGAAATGAGAATGCAGACTGAAACCAAGACAGGGAAGTGAACCAACACCAGAAGTGAGAACAAAACTGGCCCCACAACTGGCACTGGGACCAAGACTGAGACCAACACCAACACTGGGACCAGCACCGGGAGTGGTCCAGGGGCCTCAAAGGCAGCCAAACTCTACCAGGATTGGCCTAAAATCAGCCAAAGGGGCTGCAAATCTGCACAAAGGCGTTTAAAAACCTCCAAATAGGCCCAGCATTGTTCAACAGGGGGGTAAAATCAAGCCTAAACCTGCCCAATTTGGTACAAACCCACCAAAATGGGCCTAAAATCTTTGAGACTGAGTCTGAGGCCGGAACCACAACTGGCACCAACACCAAAAATGAGACCAAAATCAGCATGAAGGCTGAGACCAAGATTGGGAATAGAACCGACACCAGAACTGAGACCAGCAGTGCTCCAGAACTGGAACCAGGACTGGCACCGAGACTGAAACCGGTCCTGGAACTGGCACTGGGACCAAGACTGAGACCACCACCAACACTGGGACTGACACCAGGAGAGCTCCAGGACTGCTCTGGGACTGGGACCAGCACCGAGACTGGCACTGGCAACAGAACCGAGACTGAGATTTGCACCGAGAGAATTCTGGGACTGGGACTGAGATTGGCACTCAGAGAACTCCAGGACCAACACTGGCAGAAAGACCAACACTGGGACCGGAACCGCTCCAAGACTGAGACCAAGACCGACAATGAGAGTGAGACTGAAAACGGAACCGGCACCAACACCAACACCAAGACTGGCACCGCTATAGGACCCAGCCTGAGAGCAGCACTGTGGAAGTTGAGACAGAGAGCACTGTGGATTTAATTGGCATTTGCAGGTTGATAACCGAGATGTCTTGGTAAGAGCAAACAGAGCTTTGAAGAGTACAAGAATATTGGATCAAGAGTGGCGACAGGAAAGAAGACTGGACTAAATAAGTAGAAATGTAAAGTCAGTCTGGGTGTTGTTTAACCCAATGAATGTTGTAAAAAATTAGTGCCTTGCTAAAAATGGTGTATAAGCAAATGCAGCTCACAATAAATTTGGATTCTGCTCACGAGTCAGCAGTCCCTGTCTCTCTCTCGATCATCAATAAACACCGAAACTGGGACCGGCACAGGGAGAGCTCCAGGACTGCTCTGGGACTGGAACCAGCACCGGCACCGGGAGAACTCCAGGACTGAGACTGAGAGTGGCGCATTAACCCACACTGAGACTGGCACCGACATCAGAACCGAGACTCGCACCACTGTGGGATATGATCTGAGATTGAGATTGGCACTGGGAGCACTCTGGGACCAACAACAGCACCAGTACCAGGACTGGGACTGGAACCACTCCAAGGCTGAAACTGAGAATTAGACAAAGACCAAAACTGAGACCGAGACTGAGACTGAAACCAGAAACAGCACTGGCACCGAGACTGGGACCGCTGTAGGACTGAGAATGACACAAAGACCAGCACCGCTCTGAGATTGAGATTCAGACTGGGACCAGAATCAGCACCAGGAGTGCTCCAGGACTGCTCCAAGACTGAGACCTAGACCAGCACCGGGACAGAGACCGACACCGGCAGTGCTCCGGGATCTCCGTGTTCACTCCGGGGAGTTTTGGCTGCGCCCCCGCACGGGACTGGGCAGGACTGGGAGGGACCCCTGGGTGGGGCGGGACAGCCTCGGTTCCCATCGTTCTGGTGCAGCCATCCCGGTCCATATGGTCCCGGTCCATGTGATCCCAGTCTGTACAATGCCAGTCCATGTGATCCCAGTCTGTACAATCCCAGTCCATGTGATCCCAGTCTGTACAATCCCAGTCCATGTGATCCCAGTCTGTACAATCCCAGGCTGGATGGCCCTGATCCATCTGGTCCCAGTCTGTGCAGTCCCAGTCTGGCGGATCCCAGTCCATGTCATCCCACCCCCATGATCCCAGTCTGGATGATCCTGCATGGCTCACACTGCCAGGGTCTGGAATTCCAGTTCCCAGCCAGGAAAAGATGTTCCTGCCCTTGAAGGCAAAGCTCTTCAGAAGGGGCCAAAAGCCAAGTGCAGCAAGATCTTACAGGGACATTTCACTGCCAGCCTTCCTAACTTCACCCATGGCTGTTGGAGCTCCTGCACGGGGAATTAAATCAG